TTTGGTTGGTTGGATTGGATTGGATATATTCATGGCATGTTTACTAATCAGTAATTGGAAGGATTAGGGGGAATTGAATTGAGAAGGAGTTTGATTGAAGAGAATCATATTCCAGATTTTTATTGAAGTTGTTTACTAAACCATATGGATTGAGGGAAGTTAGATTCCAGATTTTTATTGAAGTTGTTTACTAAACTATATGGAATTGGAGTATAAGTGGTGCTAATTACTAATATGTCCTCATTGTTGGGTTAAAATATATGGCAAATTTGGGATTTTTAAAATTGTGTGAGGATATAATGGGTAAGAAAGATGAATTCCTAATGGGTTAGTTCTCCATGAATTAGAATACTACCTCCCACCCAAGAATTCCTAATTTTGCGTGGGCCCCATTTAATTTTTTAATTCTTTGATGTGAAGTAAACATAGGAATCCTCCATAGGTGGAATTCAATTCCTGATTAGTAAACACACTATCAATTAAAATGGACATGGGTCCAATCTATTTTTTTTTTTGCGTTAATTTTTTTTCTTCTTTCGAAAATATTCAGATTTTCTTGTGGTGAATCTTTCAAATTTCATAACTTCATACAATCAAGTTTTTCTTTTGTTTTAATTTAACTTTTTCTTTTGTTTTAATTTAACTTTTTCTTTTCCCTTCAGTTTTCCAAAATTTCCAAAATTATTATGTTCTTCAGTCCTATCCAAAGTAGGTATAGTATCAAACAACAAACTCAAAGCCTGATCCAATCTCAACTAGTCCAATCTCAAATACAAAGTTCAATCCAGTCTTGTCCTATCCAGACCACCAAACGAGGCCTAAGTATCACACATTAGTTTTAATGAATTCCGTTTATTAATGACAAATTTACATCTTTGTTGTGGCATTGCAGCCTACTTAGGTATGAATCTAACACATGAAAGATGAATCCCAATTTAATGTGTAGGTCATCCTAATTACCAACTAGCAATTAAATGATATTTTTCTTCCAAATATTGAAAAAGGAAAAAAAAAACAAAAACAAAAAGAACCCATCGTGTTCCATATATCATGAAACACCAAACACATTCCCTTGAAAGAAAAAAAAACACCAAACACATGAAGCCAATAAATCCGGTGAAATCAAGTCATCATTCAATATTTGTTGTTATATTGACAAAAGGAAAAGGACAAATTGCATTTACGAGTCCAGTCCAAATATATAAGTCCAGGATCAGTAGTCTCAATAAGAAAAAGGACAAATTGCACAATGGCACCTCGGCTTTTCCACTTTTGTGGATTTACCACTTAGATTAAAAAAAGAACTGATTTTTCCACTCATTTTTTATTTTTTACTTATATTTCCTTCGTTGGAAATTATATGTTCCCACTCATCTTTTGTTCACTTACACACCCTTGTATATATGTTATAGTAATAAGTATTAAAAAAAAACAAAAAAAAGTATAAGTGGAAAAAAAAAAAAGGAAAAATCAGCACCCTTAAAAACAGATACAATAAACCATCCATACTTGTAAACGTTTAACAATGCACCACCTCTGCCCAGTTTGCATCCAAAATTGGGTCAAATATGATTACATGAGATGCAGGAGGCCACTTTTTCAGGTATTTTCATCAATTCATGTCGTAAACAAATAATTTATTTATAAAAGTCTTTAAAAAGGAATTAATTTTTTTTAAAAAATAATAATAATACTGATGGCTCTCTCTCCACTAGAACCACCATGTATGATGTATATCCTTCTATCTTTCCCTCTAGCAGCTAGCCTACCCCTTTCAAACGACTACAACCCATTAACCACCCAACCTCCCCATCTCTACCTCGAGGTGTCCCTAGGCCCTCGAGCCCTGATCCGCCATGATAGCCTCCTTCCCTTCTCATCTCTCTCTCTGAGGCCAGTTGAGAGAGAGAGAGGCTCCTATGTTTAAGGAGCAGGAAGTAAAAATATTTGTGAAACTAGCTAAAATAGACCTTTTTTTATATATATAAAGAAATTCTAGTATTTCATTCAATCTGGTGCGCCTCCACTAACGATCACACAAGATCGAAGAAACTCTAGGCATAGGCATCCCAACTAAGATTGCAAATTCAGAATAATAAAAAAAAGATAAAGCTTGAAAAAACCAAGCCATAACAATACAAAATTCTCACGAATGAGAGATGAAAAGCTCTTACAAAGGAGAAGTGAAAAGTTCTCACAAAATGAGATGTGAAAACTATACAGAGAACCCAAAGGGTCTCTGTAACTTATTCCAAATAGAAAGAAATCGCAAAAAGGATAGTAGTGGAGATCCGACGCCAAAACGCAGGTAGAGATCTGACGCCAAGACGCAGTCGATTGTGATGGTTGGAGGAAAATCATGACAAAACGAAGACAAATAGGAAAAACCTTTTGTATCTGAAAATTAGAGAAGGATAGAGGGATGAAGAGAAGAGGGGAGAGGGGAGGAAGGTTAGTGGCTTCCTACCCCCTCAAAGTGAAAACGGCTATAGGAGGGTTTTTTTTAGGAGTGAGGGGCTAGGAAAATAGACCCTTTTTTCAAAACCTGTATTTAGTAATTGACATTGCAAATTCTATTATTATATAGAATTTGGTCACATGCTATTACTCAAACACCCTTCATATAAATGTACCAGTGTTGTCCCTATATAGTGCCTTTGTTTTTCCATTACTGAATAGAGGTTTTGAAAAGAGCCTATTTTAACATAAAACCGAAAATAATTTAGGTCGCATGAATTGACCAATTAAAGTTTAAGCCACTTCTGGCCCAGCGTTTGAGGCCTTGGGTTATATAGCTGTGTGGTATATGTATACTTGGGCTGTGAAGCATTACCATACATGGAGTGACCACTCTATGACACTCAATAGATACAACCCAAATCTCCACTTTGCAAAAAGGCAAGATGTTTTGTTGTTAGGGTTTTGTTTTTTAAAAGCTACTTTCCACAATGGTTAGTAGTGGATATGACAAAGTCACGAGAAATTATCGGATGACTATAATACCGCGTGACATGTTTTAAAATAGTACATATACTGAGTTTATATCACATTGGCATATATGCTAACTTTGTTGTTACGTTCATACAGAAAAATTACTCATACCCGTTTTCCTCCTTTCTCAAAATCATCTTGTTACATTAGAAGATGGATGGGTTTTGATGTGAAAGCGGCGGCCTATACAACTGAACCATACTAGAACTTTTGGTCGAATGTATATGGTGTGCATAACGAGTTGTGGTTGGATATGGCAAGTTGTGTATGTGCACACGCATATTTGGTCATGGAGTAGAGAATTTTAGCATAAAGTTCTTGTTGGTGCAGCATATAAGTCCAGGTGATGGATCCCTTAAATTAGGGATGGATCTTAGAAGAGGGTAACCTGACCACAGCCCAGGTGACTTGTATGTTTTTAAGCCTAAACTAAAACATGAGTTGTGGTTCGATTTAATGGTAGTCTTTTTTCGTTTTACTAGTTTCTATTTATATGTATTCCTCATTAGGGTATTTTGTTTTATCAATGAAATTTATTTGTACCGTCCAGTTTTGTATATTCTTAAAATATTTGTATGTAAAGTAAATTTAGCCCATCTCGTTTTCAAATCATGAATCCGTCCCTGCCTCAAATAAGTTTATTTGGTTGAGATATATATATCTCTGAAAATGACTTGATGCATGTTGATATCTTGAGGAACAGCCTTTTGATGGCCTCCCTCCCAATTATGATTAATTGGTTGAGCTGCTAGCTGTTTGTGAACATGGCAGTATGGAGGATATATATATCGATCATTCTGTTGTCTATATCAACACCATATCATAAATCAAGTTGCGCCTAACAGGCCTTTTCCATCATGATTTCAAAATAATGATGCAAATAGATATATTACCAACGTCAATGTGGACTGGGAATTGGGTAAAGATGATGAGATGCATGCATGCTTAGCTCCAATAACTGTTTGTGTTTGAGTGTAGACAACAGATTATAGATACGTCTAATCATGTAAGCATTTTTTTTGATACGATAATCATGGAAGCATTGGCTGCCCATGACTACCTTTTTTTTATAATTTTTTTTTCTTACACTAGCAATACCGAGGGAGTTGAATTCGAACATAGAACCTCGGATGCATGGATAACTACTCTTAATCACTTGAGCTACACGCTCCTAGCGACCAGCTTTTCAAAATGAACAACAATGCCACACCATACCAATTTATAAATTTATTTTCTTATATAAATTTTATCTATATGAAATTTGATAATTAAATTCTTTTGACTTGTAGCTTGTTGGCGGTAGCTAGCTAGCTAGCTCTTGTTGTTGTCATAATCTGGGCAGGAAATGCATGCGCACGAGTGTGGAGTTATGGCCTTTCATTGTTATAATCTGTAAGGCAACATCAACTTTTTCTGTATCACATCCCTCAATAATACAAAAAACTCTGTCAGTTTCCTAGCCAAATATAAGCAGAGAAGAATTGCACAGCCTGTATAAGCAATGCTCAAATTGGTATTACATTGAATTGCATCCAAGGAGCACCTACTCTTCCCCAACTCGAATATTCTCTCTCTCATTTTTTCTTTTTATGAGGAAACTTTCTGTGTCATTGTTATAATAATATAATGTAAGCATATATGACTTTCTGATTATTCCCTTCATTCTAGTATTAAATTGCTAATTGGGTGTATCTCCTTGAGTATGGGAATTTTCCTGTTGAATACTGAACAGAATTACTGCCAGCACTTGAACAGTTCTATATAAATTATATTAAAAATTTGCTCTTATGCAGACATAAATATCGGGATTCAGTTCGAATGTGGCTGCTGGTTGCACTGATACCGACCTTTTATTTCGTAGGTATCCGGGAGCAAGCTGCTTTTCGACATGGTTGATTACTTTAGAGTATGAAACTTTCTTACGCTCGAAATTAGAGACTCAAAAAAGGAACACATATAGAGCTGATATACACACAAACATTTATGTAGATGGATCGAGATAACAAGTGAAAAAGTGAAATTTGATTTACTGATATGCATTGTTCATCTGTACAATATTGCTTCCTCCTTTTTAACTTCATCTCTACTTATAATAATATCTTAGTAGCTAGCTATAGTACTCTCTTGCAAAAAGGAACAAAAAGAAAAAGAAGATCGATCGAGTAATTAATTTACCACCACTGATTGTATTTTTATTTACCATTTATTAACTCAGTGGTGGTAGCAAGACACCGCATTACATCAACCTGAGCTCGCAGAGACACAATATAATCTAGGGTTTCTGCAATCAAACACATCTCATCCTCCATGAATTCTCCTCCAGGAACAAGACTCTTGAGCACTTGTGTTTTCTTCCAAACCAATCTCTTCGCAATCGAACGGGTTTTCACCGCGTCACGCTTCCTCATCAGCACTCGACGGCTTCTGCTACTGCATACCCTCCGGCTCTTTTTCAAGATCTTCTTGTGCATCACCGACGACACTGATCTTGAGGGTTTGTGAGGACCCAGTATACGCTCAACGACGACTCTGTTGCTTTGCGTGGCGTTGGCTATGATGGCGCGGCTCCAACAAGTTGTGCCGTTTCTTGTTGAAGCCATGGCTATGTCTGCGGACAACTTTATAGCCTTCTTTCTCTCCAAGATGGTCATCTTCTTCTCCGAAGAGCTGTTGCATACTTGGAGACCCTTTATCCATTTCTTGAGAAATTCTTGCTTGAGAGAGGTAGAATTGCGCATTCTGCAAAAATTCAATCAACAAGTAGGTTTTTTAAGTGGTGGAACTTTATAACTATATTCATGTTCTTAACCAAAAAAAGAAAAAAGAAAAAAAGTTAACTGTACTTATATAGATTGAATGAATAATTCAATATTAGCCACACATATAAATCAAATACAATATAACTAAAAGAGCATATGAAAAGGAAAATAGTAAAGACAATCTGGCCTGAAAATCCAACACTACTGAGGAGATTGTTCAGAAAATAAACTAATTAATCTAGCTAGCTCGGAGATGGAACTATTTGACTTATAAAAAAATGCATATATACAAGCTAGAAACATAAGTACCTTGGTTACAATAAGGTTTCTCTCTTCTGCTGGATAGGAGAGAAAATCATGAGAAGTATAAATGACAGACAAGTTTTGCAGGGTGTTCTAGCTCCTCTACAGATCCAAGAAAGTATGAGAGAGAGGGAGATGAAGAGAGAGAGGAATGAGAAGGAGAAGATAGCGCAGAAACCCAATTTATGTGCTGAAAGGACAGGAGCTGCGGGCCTTAGAGAGAGACACAGCACATGGAAGCACATGGTGGAACCCACCACTTCAAACCTAGAGAATATAAAAGAAAAATAAAATAATTTTTTTTAGTACAAGTGATAATTTAAACTACAAAGGAGGAGGGTTTCTCACACACACAATTAAAATGTCACGGTGATTCGAACATAAGACCTTTTGAGCTGCAGATTTGAGCTGCAGATTAAGAGCTTTTTTCACTTGGTTAAACCCAGTTAGCAGTGCAATTTAGATTTATAATATGGACTAAAGGTCTTTTTTCTTTTTTAGGGGTTCATGAGAATATAAGGGTTTCTTTAGTGCAATACAAACCTAACATTTGTAACCTGTTGTGAATGCAGACAAAAAACTCATTAAATGATACGTCATGAATACGAAAAAAATAAAATACAAAAAAATCAAGATTTTGTAACACAAAAAGAATAAAATTAAAGGGGTCAAACGTGCTATTGATAAAATTATTGGATGGTTCACTTTTTCTTTTTTAGTAAAGAAAAGTTTAGGAGGAGAGGAGGCTACCCGTCTCAAGGTTAGGGCATACTAAGACCTCTTTGAGGATGACTCAAACCTAGATTTTACTAGCGAAGAGAACGTTCATTACCAACTCAATCAACCATCGTTTGGATGGCTCACTTTAATGTTGCTACCAACATGACTTGTGAGTTTTTTTGACTAGTCTCTCATCACAAGATAGAATTTTGACTATCCGTACTGGTTTCTGGTCCGGACATGTAGAGTAGATACAAATTGGGGGGGCTATGGGAAAATGGCCTTTTTCTCATAGCTATGAAAATATCCTCGAGCCATTAATTTGACCAAAATTTTAAATAAATTTAATGAAGAAAATGTTGGAATTTGTAGAAAATGACAGGATCTCTCTGTTATCCATATTGGCTTGAGGTTACTCAGAAGAATTACCAATTAGCTGGTCGATCAATAAAATTTAATTTAGATTTGATATACGAGAAATGATCATGTGACCAAATCTCGTTTTCATTAGGCTATAGGGCATACAGGGTGGCTTGAACGAAAGGGCAAAATGTTGGGAATTACATTTTTTTAGGAGAAGTCAAAAGCATGCACAGAAAGGAGACCGTAAGAGCTTTAACAACATGATTTGGAAACCCACTTAAGTGCATTACTAACCAACGACAGGTTTAACATTCGTTGGGAGTTATTACATAGTGTCATAATGTGATTTGAACAAATGATTCAGATCACATGATCATACGATCACATTATAATTATGCAGTAAGCCCAAATGAGTGCTACTAATATCATTCAATGGATATTTATATTCCGTAGTAGTAAGATTTTTGTTGCTTATGTTTTCTACGTATAATATGTTTCTCACACACATTGTCAAAGTATTATAAAGGTTCGAACTCGAGATTATTAGTCATTTCCATTGAATTAGACCCTGTTGACAACTGTCATATTTTTTTAGTTGAACATAAGTACAGAATTTTGAGTCATAAGTATGTCCTAATTATCCGAGTTGAACAATGAGCCAAAGCACACACTCAGAGTGTTCAAAATCGCTTGCATGATATGAATCTTTAGAGATTGAGATCTTAATCAAGTCCCGCCCTAGTCAGCTTAGCTTATATAAGTGGGTCGATTGATATGGAGATGGAGGAAAAGAAACGTGGGAATTGGCGGGATCCGGAAAACATGGCAATGCTAAAAGGCCAAATGGGTCCACTAGAAGAGAAAATTGAGGCCAGTGTAATTTGGCTTTGCCTAAAGGGAAATTGAGAAAAGATAGTCCTCCACATGGGGGCTTTAAAGGTTTGCCCATTTTAAGGAGAAATACTCTCATACAACCGGGATAACAATTTTTACTATTTTTGATCAATAACGCAATGACATGTGGGTTAACATTTTCACGTGTCATTGTGTTATTGGCTGAGGATAGCAAAACAGTGTTATTCCCATTACAAGAAAGGTTTTTTTTCCTTTCTAAGGCTCTCTTTAAGTGCATCCGTAAATTGCAAGGAGTTTGTATCTCAAGTAATTAAGAACAGTTATCTCTGCACCTAAAATTGTATTTTAAATCCATAATTCTGTCCAAAAAGTCACGTGTCTTTCACGTGACTTGCTAATGTTTTATTATTATTATTAAATATTTAGAAAATAGAAAAATGAAACAAAGAAGGAAAAAAAAAAAAAGGGAACTCGGCCACCCCTCATCCCCACCTCCCCTCAGCAAGATTATTTTTGGTGTTGCTGATTGCAACAATAATGACAATCATAAGCTCATCATCTACATAGTTGCAGAAGTTGTAGCACCAATAGTTAAAAAATATAAAATCTCACATCAAAAATTTAACTCAATAAATTATAACTTATAACTTATATATAATAAGTGGTTCCATTCCTAAAGGCTTTTTGTGATAAACCCCACACCTACTGGGCTTTGTAGGTAGTTAAGTTGGAAAAAATATCGGTGTTGCTAGTAATGGGCCTTTGATCCATCTCAATGAAATTTAGCAGGGTATTATAGCGGGACCCCGACCTAGACCCAGACTTCGACCCAGACCGGCCACACCTTGACTAGGTATTGCCATCGACCCGACCGACTCCGACTCAGACTAATTTTCCGTTGCATGCATACACAAATAATTAAATTCAATGTGAACTTGGCTTCACATGTGACCCACTGTATAACAGTAAACACATTAAAATCCAACAATAGTAATTGAGCTTATTGTCTCTTTTTTCTTTCTTCTGAAAATTTCAAAATCCAAATAAGTAATCATAGTTTGCTATATATGGCTAGCTACATGCGTGGACAAATTTTTGGTGGGATTAAATTGGATGGACGGTTCCCTACTTTTTCATCGGTGTCTAAGAAATTTAGGGTTTGAGAGGTACATATCACATGTGCGTGTGGCCCTAACTTTTGCCATTTTTCTCTACCTCTCCATTAAAACATTTCGTACGTAGAAACCAATCTTCTGCAAATGTCTGGCAGCTTAAGACTGCGATTTATATATATATATATATATCATGTAGAAAATATAATGCTGAGACCACATTGTCAACGGTTAGATTTGAATCTCAAGTTCGATTTCGATTTTGCTTTTGCATTGGCATTGGCAATTTGGCAATTTGGCATGCCCCTCAATATCCGACTACTTAATTGTTCTTTTCTATACTTTATAAAATTAAAATAAATACCATTAATTTTATATATGTACGGGGTACCAAAACATGCATGTAGGTCTGTCGGGGAAAACAATTGCATATGCATATGCACTTGCAAACGTTAGAAAGGAAGTGTTTCTTTTTTCTTTCTTTTTTTCCTAAATATTTTGTAGGACACATACATTATTGCTAGAATATTCAAAGAATTTAGAAGAAAAATGCAGAAGTTACTAATTACATAATTTGAAAGATATGTTTCACGTTTTTGTATATGCACACTAATCAAATCAAGAGAACCAAGTTTCCCTTTTTGCTCATTTCATTGAACATGTTTTGTTGTTTGTTCGTAGTAAGAGAAATGTCAATAGACTACTAAAAGTGAGTTTTTTTATATTTTAAATTGAAAAAAAATACAAAAAAATATACTCTCTGAAACTCGAACTATGATGATGTGAAGAAATATCCCACATCGAAAATTTAAGAGAACTAGCATGAGCTTATAAGGAGTTGAACTACTTCTGTTTTAGGGGTGGAAGTTCAACTTCCTTCATGGTATTCATAACAAGTGAAAACAAGTGCCGAAGAAGATTGTTTGCCAGTTTTTTTCTCTTTCAATAAAGTTGTGAGGGATATTTGTAGAAATGTCACCTGAACTTATACATCAGTTTCAATTTTTCACCTTAAAGAAAAATTTAAGCGAAATGTCACCTTAAGTTTTCAAAATTCATGATTTGTCACCTGACTTTAACATCATCCAATTTTTCATCCATTTTTAAGGGTATTTTAGTCTTTTCAAGTAAGAGGGTTTGCATAGCTTTATATTTGAATTATATAAAAAAGAGGGTTTACATATTGGAAAGACTAAAACACCCTTTAAAATGGATGGAAAATTGGATGATGTTAAAGTCAGGTGACAAATCATGGATTTTGAAAACTTAAGGTGATATTTTGCTTAAATTTTTCTTTAAGGTGACAAATTAAAACTAATGTATAAGTTCAAGTGACATTTTTACAAAAATCCCAAGTTGTGAATATATATTAGTGAAGAAAACGGAAAATTAATAATTATTCTTTTGTTCATTTTTTTTATATATACAAACGATATTTTACTTTAATTTAATCTAAACTACGAGTAGAATAATTTGAATTTGAGTGCAAAATGAGAAGCGGTTGGCTAGAGCGGATGTCTGCTCTTCTTCAGTTTTCTTGAGCGTTGAAAATGCAAGTTAATTTTGATATAGATATTTGAAAAAGAAGGTCAAGCACATGGAGGTCCAAGCGCCCAGGGGTCATTCCCCTTGATTTGCGGTTATCCTTACAATTGACTCCTGTACTTGGCTCCCATTGACTGTGACTATAATGTTTGGACCCCCCGCCCCACGTACGCTTCCACACTTACACATACTGCGAGAGCTTATACTTTTATTTTCACGTTAAAAGCGATAATAATGTCAGACCAAAAAATAAAAAACGATAATAATGAGGGATGAAACAAGTACAAAAATCGGACAATGTCCTAGAGAATTAGGCGAGTTTCTCTACACCTAAGGCGTCTGAGTTTTAGCTTGTTTTGCATCTTTATAAATTATTATGGACCCGAAGTTACTAAGCACTGCTAAGTACTAACCTCCCATCTTTTTCTTCATTGCATATATATGAGCAAAGAAAGTGATATTGTATGGGAATTATGCTCGTGATTATATAGAGGGTGTTTTTATTTCCACTCACCTCATATTCCCAACCCTGATTAAATTTTTTTTTATAAATAAAAGTACTCGCGTCTCTCTCACCATTATTCCTAAAATAT